CTGCGGACCTCAGGCCGCCCCGTCCCGGCTCGCGTTCGGCACGGCCCCGGCCTACGCTATCCTGATCGGGATCCCGGCGTTCCCACCCCGGGCCGCGGAGACCCCACACCTCGTTGTCCCCCGACCCCCACTCGGGGATTAGGCACGGGCTTGACGTTCCCGTCGCGTCCCGCCAGTCCCCGCGTCCTCGGGCGAGGCAGCGTTCCCGGAGTGAATAAGTCTTTACAACTAACTGAACACCAGCAAAGTTGCAATAGCGCATTAGTTTAACCCTTGGTCTCTCGGTAGGCAGCGCCCGCATCCCCACTCCGCGGGGCAAGTGCAACTTTTTTAGTCTTCTCAAAACTACGCAGCATTAGATGAGCCTTGAGAGAAGAATTTTTAAGTTCGTCCCTTGAGGCCCTGTTATGGGAAGTTCAAAGAGAACGGTTTACGTGGGTTTTTTTTTTTAACTTCTTCCATGTGTATCACTGTTTGAAAATGGAAAACGTGAGTTGAAGGTGATCTTTCCACACGTGGTGGATTGCTGTCCTCAGCCTTCCTGTGCCCCAGCTTGCCTGACATAGTTGCTTTTACCCCTTAAATAGATTTTAAAGGTTACTGTGTCAGATAAAGGAGCTGCTGGGGGTAAAAAGAGCAGTATAATTTACTAGAACTATTTTATTGGGTTCTATTAACCTGTTTAACCTGCTTAACCATGACAGGAATTTCATGGTGGAACCCACATACCCAAGTGCGATATTGAATTTTAATTAGTGTATCCCAGGTCTGGATGTGGAATGCTGAAGCTGAGAAGAATTATACACTGTTGTCCTTAGGGCCTTGTTCTGTGTTTAATGAAACAGTTTAATATTAGGGTTGGAGGAACACATTTTGAATCAGGATACCTCGACAAACTTGAAAACCGTTAGTATGTAATCCCTGAAGCTCATGCTACACCTTATAGTATCCATGCCTTCTTCACCCTTGTTCTCAAGCCGTGGTGACAGGTTTACCTTAGAAATACAGAGTAACAGAATTTTCGGTTTGTGATGGGGACCTGAGCAGTGTAATCTAGCTTCACTATTTTACGTTTTGTTTTCCTGAGGTTTAGAAGGAACTGAATAGAGCTGCTTGCCTTTATTAAGCATTTAGCTTGATGAAACTTACTGATGGGACATGTTGTCCCAAACTTGATCTTGTTTTGGCTTAACTGTTACCCACTCCGCCCCAGCCTGTTAAGCAAAGTAAAGTGTTCTCCTGAGCTCTGGTCCCTTTCTTCTTGATTATGTTGTCTTAAGAATTGCCAAGTAAGCCTGGCAATGGTGGCTCATGCCTTTAATCCCTGTACTCCCTGGTGGAGATCTGTTAGTTCAAGACCAGCCTGGTCAACAGAGCTAGTGCCAGGGCAGGCTCCAAAGATATGTAGAGAAACCCTGTCTTGAAAAACCAAAGGAGGGGGGGAGGGGGAGGAAAGAAAAAAAAATTGCCAAATAATCACTATAAAGATTTTTTTTAAAAAAACCCTTTCTGTTCATATGAGAATGATTTCTAATTTTGACTCATTAGCTACAAATGATGCAAATTAATTTGAATTTAGCAAACTATAGTTACATTTGCTAGTTGAAAACATTTCTACTTTAGTTTAAAAATTTGAATTTAATAATTTTGTTTTAATTTTATTTATTTATTTTTTTGTTTTGTTCCTTTTCAAGACTGGGTTTCTCTGTAGCTTTGGAGTTCTTCCTGGAACTAGCTCTTACAGCCCATGCTGGCCTTGAACCCACAGAGACCCACCTGCCTCTGCCTCCCAAGTGCTGTGATTAAAGGCGTGCGCCACCACCGCCTAGCTAATAATTATCTTTCAGTTTAAGGTTACTTAGATTCATCTTTTCTCTTGAGATAGGATCTCATATAGGCTAGGGTATGGAATTTACTGTGTAGCAGAGGCTGGCCTTGAACTCCTTATCCCCACATCTCTGTTTTCTACCTAGGATTCTATTAGTCATATTCTTTACAACACATTTTAATTTTTTTTTAAATGTATGTGTGCTTGTCCATTTTGTATAAGCCAGAGTTGTCAGATTCCCCTGGAGCTGGGGTTGTGTGGATGCTGGGAACCTAAGTTGGGTCCTCTGTAAGAGCAATATGTGCTCTTAATCCATGAGCCAACTCTTCTTCCCTGTCATTCATAGTCATGGATCAGGTAGTCTGTGTCTCCCAGAGGATTAGTTTAGCAAGAGGTCTGGGGTTAAGGTCTGTATGACTTTGATATTTGGTAGAAAGAGAAATCCAGTGCATAAATAGTAATCTACATTAGCTCCAGTATTACATTAAAAAAAAAGTGAGCCTAAATTGGGATGGGGTAGGATTTTTACATCTCGGACAACGTGGCATTTGGTGTAGGAAGTACTTGTTGCCTCTGTCTTTTCTTGGTGGGTGTTTTTTGGAAGATGGCCACATGTTTTTAATCTGTATGACTAGTGTCAAGTACAGTGGATACTCTGTAAATGCTTTGTCTTGGTAGAGCAGTGCCTGGAAGTCCCAAATTATGATTTTAGTAAACTTTAAATTACTAATTTTCTTCTTTGTGTTGAATGAGTACTGAAAGAGAATACAAAGGTATTAGAAAATACTAGAAAAATTGGGGGAAGAAGTATCAATTTTGTTCTTTAATGCTGTCACTGAAAAATTTCAGAGTACAGTTATATAAATGTGCTAGAATATACCTCCATTGTACGAGAGTAATGTGAAATTTCTACTGGAGAGAAGTTGATAACCGTGAATTCAGCAACCTCTAATTGTTACCATAGGACATCTCTTAAAGTGTTGGTTTCATTTTATAAGGATGTATTCTTCAGCCCGTAGATTTCATAAATAACATGATTTGGGAGTGTGGACTACTTTGTCAGGCTGTCCTGGAGTGATATTTTAAATGATCTAGTGGTGGTAATTAGTAAAACACAATGGATCTTCTCTTTCTTTTGTGCTTATTCTTTGCTTTTACTTTAGTAGATCACACTAGTGTTGGTGTATGAAAGCAAAACAAAATAAGAAACATTTCAAGATTTCTTTTGCAAAGAACAGTCACTTTTTTCATTGAAAAGCTAATAGATTTTGGGTCAACAAATACATAGCCAGTCCAGTTCCCATAGAGTGATTACTGCTTGAACATGTGAAGTTCTGTGTGATAACCTGTACAGAGATCCTATTTTTGAACTATATTCATTCCCCCTCCATACTGATAATGTTATCAGAAGCAAGTTTATAGTAGAGTAGGGTGGTACTTAATCATATGAAACAGTCGTCTTCTATCCATCTACACTGGTTCTTCAGTCAGCCCCACTCTTGGGCTACCCACTTTCAAAGGTTATTCCTTTTTACACTGATGAATAGGTAAAATACTCCCCATCCCATTGTCCTGAAAAATATCTTTGGGTAGGATCCAGGGTCTTACACTGAACATCCATTCTTCCCAGAAGTGTGGTACTATGCTATCCATACCCTTGGCATGTACTCTTTGTGCATGTGAGTTTAATTTTAAACACAGTGCTTATTGTGAGCTTTACAAACATATAACATAAACATCTCAAAGTATGTAAGAAATGTGCAGAGGATTTCAGTATAGCTTTAGAGTGACTTAAAATATAAAATGAGATAAGAGTTAGTAAGAATATATAGGTTTCCCCTTCTTGTGCAATTATATTTAAGCTATTTGAACAAATGATAAGTTTTTGAATATTTGTCAAAAAAGTAATCAGGACTTCTTCCCTCCCTTCTCTCTCTCTTCCTCCCCCCTCTCTCCTTTCTTCCATTCTTCCTTCTAGGTCCCTTGAGGAACTAAAACATACTCTTTGCTTGGGCATTCAGCTTCCTTCCTTCTCTATGTTCTCTTCTACATAGAAAACTGAGGCCTGTTTTCATCTGTAGACAGTAAAGATCTTGAAGAATCGGAATACCGATATTGTATGGTATGTGTGCGATACCATCTTCTTTGTTCATACTCTGCTGCCCATTAACACTGAAATGTGGATTCTTTCACTGTGACCATTTGTAACACTTTTAAGATTTTTTATATACATCAGAAACTCAAGGACATTGAGCGTTTGTCTAGTCATGACTCAGAACCACTCCTGGCTGGCCTTTAGTCAGGCTCTCCACTGTGTTAGCAGAGTAATGAATTGTTTTCCTCCATTTTGAATGGTGGCTAACTATTTTCAAGTGTCTGACTTTCTGCCCTTCTGTTCTCTCCATTTTGATCTTTTGATAAGGGGTTCACTATACATTTCTGTAGTGTAGTTCTTCCCTGCCTTTTAGACTGTGTATACCTCAAGAGTGAGACTGGATCTCTCATAGCAAGTTACTAATATTGGTTAAATATGCAGCCATTCTAATAGTAAGTTCTGTATTAGTGTGGGGAGGGACAGTATCCATAGAGAATTCAAAATTCATTTAAGAAGTTTAGACATTTTATTGCCAACACTAGTACTTGGGAAGCTTTATATTTTAAATTATAAATATCCTTATGAAAAATGACTTCAGTCATCTTATAGACATTTATTTAAGGAACAAAAATTTCACTCTGTTGAATTGTAAGGCATTGCATATTTCAGGGTGTTTTGAGTTTGATGAATATTATATATGATTTTATATTTCTTACACATAGAAATTTTATGGCACTATAAAGAACTGAGTTTAATGACCCCACTTTTGTTCATTAGTAATTATATACTAAAGAGTAAATTCTCATTACAAGGCCCTGAAATTACTGCCTATAAAAAGAGGGACCTCTTTGATTTTGTTCTCCATACAATTGTAGTTATTGTATTGAGGGAAGTCATCAAACTCTTTAGTAGTGTAAACCTTTAATTTGGTTTTAGAACTGCAGTCATATATTGAACTCCCAAATTACCATGTCTTTAACAAGCAGTGCACACTCTGTATTAAAAAGGTAATGACCATAACTTTTCTTGGAGGATTTCTTGTACTAATTTTTTAAAGAGGACGTTTGAACTAAATTTCCCACAAAAGCCCAAATCTCATACATTTAATGATAGTGGAGTACATGTGTATGTGTAGAAGGGAAAGTTGGTAATTTTTGTAGTGGTATCTTTAAGTGGACAATTTACTGATTATGTTGAGGTAAACATTTTACAACTCTAAAGGAAAACTTCAATTATCTGAATGAAATGAAGTATGTAAAATTAATTCAAATAAATGGGAGAACTCTTACTGTAAATGATGCATGTTAAGAGATATGACCTCAGTTTTCACCGCCCCCTCCTTTATGTTTGTCATTTGCTTTGACATTACAGAATTGTGATTCTTCTTGGTCACACTAGGAGTCAATGATGGGAAGAAGTAATGTTGATCTATAGATTTTAAACCTCTCGTTCCCAAGCTTTGGAATGGTGTTCTGTGTCATGAGGAATTACTCATCTCTGTTCCCTACTGTCTTCTGTTAGTGATATTCAGAGCCTTTCATTTGGCCAGCTTCCTCACCAACATGTGTGGACTCTGAGAATATGATGCTTATACTTCTTAAGAGTTGGGTTCCAACAAGTGTATTGAACTGCATAACTCTTTAATTCTTTCCCTCTCTGTTTCTTTAACAACTGCTTTGTAGTATAGATCCTAAAAATAGAAACAGACCTCAGCCAGGACTTCTGACTTTTGTAGGTTCTAACTTGAAATGGAAATTTTACTGATTGATTGGGGTTTAGAAAAATGATTTCTGTGCAGCTGACTGAGGTTTGCAGTGCTCTTGGTTTTGAAAGCTAGTGTGTAATTTCTAGATGGCCCCTGTAGTTGTTGTGATGACATCACCTTCTACGCTTTTGTTTTTAAAAAAAACATAAACAACTCACATAAATGAGTGCTGACATTGTATAAGCCAATTTATTTCATTCTTTAATATTACCTATAGATCCTTTATTTGAAGTACCTGAGAACATACTTTCAGTATGTATTTTTTTTTTATTTGTTGCATTATAAGATGCAACATGAGTCATATCTTGAATGATTTGGGTAGGGTGTGGTTAGCAAGAGCTGTATCAACTTTGTTACTGGTGAGTCACTGAGACTTTTTTCTATTATTATTATTATTATTATTTTGCTTTTTGAAACAGGTTTTTTCTGTAGCTTTGACTGTCCTGGAACTCACTCCTACACCTGGCTGGCTTTGAACTTGGAGATCCACCTGCCTCTGCCTCTCAAGTGCTGGGATTAAAGGTGTACGCCACCACCACTGACTGAAACTTTCTTTAATAGATCTGGATGTATGACTAAAGATTTTGGACTCAAGAGTCAATTGAGACTGGTTTTGATTTTGTACAGTATAAGCAGTATACTTCTTCCTTGGGAGGAAGATAGGTATTTAGCATGTTTGAATTTCAGTTTCCTCATGTTTGAAATGTTTGAAAATAATAATCATGTGGTAGTTAAAAATTAATAATAATATTTGATGCATTAACTCATGATCATATTTTAACAATGTGAATTAATACACTATCTAGTTTAAACACTAAGTGGAAATTGTTTCCCAGTTGATGATAGAGGTAAATGGGTAGCTCAGAACCTTTCCAAATCTTGTTCGGATGACTTTAAAGTTACAAAAGGTTTGCTTGTTTAAGGTAGGAGAAATGGCTAAATCATTAAAGGCTAGGCTTACAACCCAAAATATAAAATTATAAAAGACATAATTATCACTCTATTTATATACACATAATGTACTGATATGTGGTGTAAGGAGGCAGAATATACTGTTTTTATGGTTTAGATGTCCTCCAAAGGGCTTGGTTTCTAAAGTTTTGCTATTAGCAGGGATTGTGGACCTTTAAGAGGTAGGACCTAATATTATTACAAGGTGTTAAAGGTTGCTGGAATCAGGAGACCCTGGTCTCACAATCTCTGTTTCAGGGCTTGAGATGTATTACCTCCAGTTTGCTCTTTAGATCTGATTTGCTTCCCTAGCCAGAAGCTTTCATCTGTAGTAAAGATAAGTTATCAAGACTTAATATTAGATATGCATAGTACTTGTTTATATCTGAATCTAAGGTATACCAGCAGCTTTTATTGTGACCTTGAAAAAACTTTCTCTGCCTCATCTAAATTTCTTCATCTGTGGTCTAACAGCTAATGAGTAGAGAGAAAAGAGGATTAAATGAGGTACTGTTTGTATATGCAGACTTAATGCTGCTTGCTGTTATTTGTTTTACAATTAAGGTTCAAAATAAATGAGAACTGAAGAAGGAGCATTTTGAGTTAAAATCAAAATGTCAGTGCAGACACTTGGTGAATTAATTGTATGGGGACATTTACTATGGATTTTAGGATGTTACCTTCTCATTTATACCTTTCTGTTTTTGTTTAAGGTAGTAGTTCTCAAGTGATCGGTGGTGTTTGCCTTTGAGCCCAGCACTGAGGCAGAGGCAAGTGGATCTCTGAATCAAGGCCAGTCTGGTCTATGGAGTGAGTTTCAGAACAGCCAAAACTACACAGGGAAACCCTGTCTTGGGAAACAAACAAGATAGTAGTTCTTAGAATGTGATATATCTGTTTGTCAGCAGGTATCTTTTGCAGATGGGGGGGGCACAAAATTTGTACTATTATTATAGTAATGAAACTTCTTGCCTTTTTGTTCTGTCTTATGTCTTGTGGTTTACAAACAGGAATGAGTAAACTTTGAACATCTTATTAGAAACTAAATGTCACTGACACCAGACTGTACTAGTAATTGTATATGCCTCGTGTGACATATGCATTAAAAACATTGAAAGCAGTAAATGTCCAGCCATCTTTGCCTAAGAAGGTACTTAAGGAAGAAATAGCAATGAGCTTTTTAAAATTTTAATTTACTAATCTTTCATTGAATATTAGTTACATTTATATCCAGTGTATTTGCTCGTCTAGAGAAAACAACAGCAAACTTTCGTACTTTTTTCTGAGTTATCAGTAAAACTAGCCACATTTTCTACATGAAATACCACTTCTACTTTAAAGAGTGAATAAAAAAGAAACTGATGATTTAGACTTAGTCATTTGTCAGTCATTTTCTTGAAAATGAAGAAGAGGGCCTGTCACTTTAAGGGAAACAGCTGTTAATGTTTGTTGCCAAAGATAAAAATTCAAATTTGTATATGACAGTAAAATTTTAGAAAACCTATGTTGTTTGCTATGCTCTTTTCTGTTTTTCAGTATTTAAGAAATCCTGGCGCATAGTGATACTGGTGACTGTTTCCTGTCGTCTAGTAAATCAGTGTTTTTAAAATGAGAACTGTGACAAATAAGAGTTAAAGATATTTTTAAAAAGCAAGCTGCATAGTACAAAAAGTTCTAGATAATAACTGTTAAGAAATTCCTGTGTGCCAAGTTTTTGTGTAGTATCATAAAATTATCCAGTAATATATGAACGGGCTGTTAGTATTAACACATTGTTTTACTATGTATTTTGTGAGGTCATTTTTTTTCCACATAGCTCAGTCAGAACTATATATCACAGCAGATTGAATGTAGAAGCAGATATGAAAATCTACTTGCATTCTCATAAGCTAAACACAGTGATATTTGAAAAACTGTTATACACTATTATTTTCTTATTAAGCTTTTATATTTTAAGTGTTTTCACTAAATGTGAAATTTATTTTAAATAATATATATCTGATAGGTTTTTGATGACTTAATGACTACTTAGCATCTTATTTTCTAATACAATGAATACTGATAATTTTAATATACAAGTCTTTGGGAGTGATACAACAATTTTTAAAAATATGAAAGGAGTTTAGACACTAAGATTTGAGAACTTTTTTTTTATTAAGCTCATTGACTGGAGTTACAAAGATTTAGTCTCTTTAGTATTTCTTTGAATATGAACTTCATGCCTTTAATTTATTTCCCTAATTGTAAAGTTCTATGGTTATTGGATTTTTGTGTCATTTTTGAAACAGGCAAGGTTCTTTCATGTCTTTAAAGATTTATATTTTCAAGATTGATGTCACCAAAGTTACTACAGAGATGAGATAATCGTTTCAATTAACCTCTTCCTTTCTGATATTGTGTGTGTGATTGTGAGCTTTGACATGAGTTTATGCTCAAAGAGATGAAGATAACCTGGGCCCCCTTGGTGGGTGGAGGTGGCATTTGGATGAAGCAGGCAGCTAGCAATAGTGGGGAGAAAAAAGGAAATGAAATATGTCCCCTTTGAGGCAGGTCCAAAACAGCTTAGAGATGTTTCAATGTGAAGAAGTTTAGGTGGAAAATACATCAATATGTATAGATTTTTGATGTGGGAAGTTCTTCTGTGTGTGTGTTGCTTTTACTGGTTAATGGATAAAGAAGCTGATTTGGCCTGTGGTAGGGCAGAGTAGAACTAGGTGGGGAAAAGTAAAATATTTCCTTAAAAATCTATCTTTTTTCTGTCCCATACCAGATGGCTCCTGACATGAGATAGAAACTCTGAATTTTCTTTTAACAGTATGCTTGGATTTAGCATTTAGCCATTGTCCAACTTCAAAGCCAGCTTTCTCTCTCTCTCTCTCTCTCTCTCTCTCTCTCTCTCTCTCTCTCTCTCTTTCTCTCTCTCTCTCTCTATCTAATTTTTTTTTTAAATCCTCAAATGACCTGTCCTCATAAGTCATATTTCTTTTTGCTTGGTGACTCTTTCTAGATATTTATTTTCTCCTCTTTATACATCCAAACATCCAGGATCTCTTGACTTTTTGATGATGTGTATTTTCCTGTAAAGACAAGAACAGAACCCTGCCCCATTTTTAGGCACACAGTGGGTCTATGTTGTCATTAAGCAGGTTGTAGCACTCTGCTCACAGACCCCATTTAAATGCTCTGTAGTGGACCTCCCAACAACGTTAGAGCCATTTATACTGGTGAACCAGGAAGTTCTGCAGGACACAGAAGTGACTGACAAACTGCCAGTATAGGCAGAACTGTCTTTCAAATTTCCTGCTTCATGGAAAAATCTGCCGGATACTATGGGCCTGTAGACTGAAGATGGTGCTCCAATGGTACAGAAGAATTTTGAGTGATTGTCCAGGCAGCAAGATGTCTCTGTCAGTTCTAGAGTTTTGGAAGTTGCTTGCAATGTACTTCCTGTTTGCTTAGGTAATATTGTATCTTTCTGGAGTCTTTGATGGAGTTGAAGAATAGATAGTTAGAGTTTTCCTTAATTATGATAAAAGATAAAGTAGATAATATTTTAACTGTAATTCTTGCTTTATACCTATTTTGTTATATATAATTTTACTATGTTAAAGTTAAAGCCTTTTTATTTAAACAGAAAAGGGGAAATGATGTGGGAAGAACTTCTATGTATTGCTTTTATTGGTTAATGAATAAAGAAACTGCTTTGGCCTGTGATAGGGCAGAATAGACCTAAGTGGTGGTTGGGGGAGTAGGAGGACTAAACTGAATACTGGGAGGAAGAAGTCAGGAGACAGCATGTAACCACCAGAGGGGAAAGATGTGAGCTGCTAGCTGGAACCTTGCTGGTAGGCCACAAGCTTTGTGGTAAAGTATAAAATAATGGAAATGGGTTAATTCTAAATGTAAGAGTTAGCTAGCAATACACTTAAGTGATTGGACAAACAGTGATTTAATTAATACAGTTTCTGTGTGATTATTTCTAGTCTGGGCAGCTGGGAATTAGCACGTGGCCTCAGACAACAGATTTTGATTTTGTTATATTCTTATATTTGGAGATTATATGAACTCAGCTGTAGTAACAGGAGGAGCAGGCCATTTGTGAAGGTTGAACTTCTAGGCCAAAAGTTTGAAGGTTCAAAGAAAAATAATTTAGAAGATGTGATGTTGATGCTAGGAGAGGTTGAACTATTCAGGTTGTAAAGTGTCCAAAGAACTGTACATGCCAGAGTGGGTGTTAGAGCATGACCAAGAAGTGATGGTCAACATGCACACTAATGTCATACATGTTCAACTCTGGAAAATATAGAGACCTCCATTATAGTTGGTTCAGAGTAGAAATGCAGTACCAACATAACTTGGAACATGGAAGAAGCCAGTATTGGAGACTTAAAGTTGAATTCTTCATTCCCGTCCAAGGTCATTATTAAGTCTTTGATTGATGCAAAGCTGAGCCAAGGAGAAGAGCAAAGGAACTGAACTGTCTACATTGTAGGGAAATACTTGTTAATTGAGTGGCTGGGAAATAAGAAGGAAATAGTTGATTTATTATTGTCATTCATCTGAGTTTCTTAAAACAACACAGTGATGATATTATAATGCCTACACCACAAACTTCTCTAGACTAAGAGTTGGTAGACTTTACTCTTTAAAGGACCCAGATGGTAAATATTTTGGGCTCCGGTAGCAATCATTGTTACTCATACTCCAGTATGCTGCTTCTAAGAAAGCATCTGTAGAGAAGTAGTGAAGGAACATGACTGTCTTTTAGTAAGCATTATTTGTGGAAACTGAAATCTGATTCCAATTGTTTTTATACGTCCACAATATGAGTTAACCTTTCCCTAGTTATTTAAAATAGGAAACCCACTTTTAGGTTATACCTGTATAACAACAGGCAGCAGTGTTGATTTTACTTACGTGTTCTAGTTTGCTGACCTCTGTTTTAGGAAAACAGTGTCTTATCAGCTATGATGGAGAGAGCATGGCGGTACTGAAATAGATGTTCTCTAGGACAGTGGTTAGTGATACTGTCTTCGGTGACACCGATGATAAAAATCCACTTAAGTATTTAGATGTGACATCTGCAGCAGGTTCTAATCATTCAGTTATGAGACAGACTGGAAACTTGACAAGGATTGTCACCTACTGTGCAGACAGAGCCAGAATCCATTATAGAAATTGTCTGGGTGAGCTGCCTGCTGGGGCCAGTGATGCACTGTTAGACAAAGATGGTGAAAGATACCAGTTTGCCATATCCTTGTGACTAACTGAGTATGGCATAAGTATGGCATTAAGCCATATGATTCCAAAAACTTTATGACTACATAAAAATAAAAATGAAAAAAAAAGGTAGTGGTGGTTAGTGTAGTTGAAGTAAATTTGATCTTTATTTGTGGAATATGTACTGCATTACCATTCTATAATGATATGTAGTAATTGCCTTGGTAATCTAACTTTAAAGATCCTGTTTTTATTCATGAAACTTACATAGCTATTACCTTTTAGGATTGAATTCTAAAGGGAAATGCAACAAAGACTGACAGCTGTTTACTAGACTAGGTTAGTTTAAGCACTATAATGTTTTTCTTCATTTTTATACATTTTTAAATCAAAATATAATTATACCACTTCTCCCTTCCCTGTTCTTCTAGTCCCTCCCAGGTCTCTTCCCACCAACCTCTCCTATCCCTTCCTCACCCTCAAATTGGTAGCTTCTTTTCTTTGATTATTATTGTTGTTCTCTCTCTCTCTCTCTCTCTCTCTCTTTCTCTCTCTCTCTCTCTCTGTGTGTGTGTGTGTGCATGCACAAA